TGAGCCACAGGCGCTGAGCCAATTTTGCTCTTTTTCAGGCTGGTTTCAAATTGCTCAGGCAATCCACTCACCTCTGCCTCCCAGAGTGACGGGATTACAGGTGTGAGCCACTCTGCCTGGCCTCACTGTGTTGCTTTTTAATGAACTTAACATGTTTAAGATTTACATTCATCAACTCTGGTGATTAATTACTTGTCTTATTACATGACAATAATAAAACCTGATTTTTAAGTTAACTATAAATTATCGTAAGTATTCATTTTGCTGTTTTAAAAATTATTTCCTAAATTTTTATTTTAATTAATTTCCACTGGGTACAATGTAAAGTTGTACCTAACAAATAATAGGTTTTGAAAACATTGTTAATAGTTACTTATATTTATATAATACAAGCTTAAATATTTTTTCTTTCAACTTTTCCCTATATTGGTATTTAGAGTTATTTGTATTTCAGAAAGTGAATGGTCAATACTATCAGATGTTGTGGATATGAACAGAAAAGTTCTTAATAATCTTGGCAATTAAGAAAATTTTGAGTAACCAAAAATAAGAGCCATTAATAAAGAATAAATAGCAACTAGAAAAATGTAATAACAGGAAGATATTTAAAATTTTGTTCTTGTAAATCAATGAGAATCTTGCTAAAACTTTAAAGATACTTCATAAAAAGATTATGGTTATTTTTCAGTCATTTTCTATGAACTTTGCTAGACAGTAGGACCTCCATAGTTGACCTCCGCCCTGTGTAGACTACCTTAAGTCGACCTAACTTTCATAGACTGGGCATGCACCACGGATATATGTCAGTATAGTAAGCTTAGTTCCTGCGTCAAACACCTTTGAATGTTGACAAATTTGTTACAGTCCCTTGGGTGGTCCAATTACAGTTATAATTCAGCAAAACTAAAATGAAATAATAAATGTGTTGTCTAGAAAATTTACTTATTTCCAAAAATGTTCAAATCATTTCCAGATTTCCAGAAACAGAGAAATAATTTAGGCTTTTAAAAATTCTGGTTTCGTTGCTTGAGGCCAAGAGTTTGAGACCAGTCTGGGATACACAATACATAATATTCTGTCAGTACAAAAATAGTTTTTAAAAATAAAATAGCTGGGCATGGTGACATATGCCTATAGAACTAATTTCTCCCAAGGCTGACATGGGAAGATGGCCCGGGCCCAAGAGTTTGAGGTTATTGTAAACTGTGAGCACAGCACTGCACCCCTCCCTGGGCAACAGAGGCAAGGGCAGGGGTGGGACCTTCTTGTTGCTGGGCAATGACAAAGTTTCTCATGGCATGGCTTAGAAAACTTTTAAATAATTACTAAATTCAGTCAAATATATCTTTTTATATCTATTTATTTATTGGCTTACTTGCTTGAACTCTTTAACTGCCTCAGGGTTCTTATCTTAATACAAATTAAATTAAAAGCTGACAGAAGATTCAACCATAAGAAAAAGAAACAAAACCAATTTTCCAAAATTACTAAGATGTTCCTAATTATTAAGCTCTTCAGTGAGAAATGCTGCTTCAGACTTGGATGGTTGTTAGCAATACCTACTGTTTCAGCAGCAGAGAATCTTGTGAAATGATAAAGAGTTGAAAGAAGGTCCAACGCTGTCAAACAGCTCTTTTGTCTGTATTTACAATTGCATAGACTAAGCAACTGCACGGCCTGCATGAGAGATGGGTCAGTGAATGGACTCTGGCACCTACTTTATCTGAACCCACGGTATTTGAAATGGTATTTAAAAAAAATAGGTTCTGAGCTCTAGCTGATATAATAATGCAAAAGACTCAAAAACAAACAAAGCATACATTTCTAGATTTCTGTCAACAGAAAAATATTTCACACTTGTAAAACTCCTGGTTGCTGGGCTGGTTGGAAAAAAGCTTCTTGTAGTTTGAGAAATATTTAAATGTTTACAGTTTCTTAAAGACTGCATAATTTAGAAGCAAAACTGTAATCGATGGCAGGAAAATCCATATCCAAAGAATTGCAGCATTTACTTTCTGGTTGTGCTTGTGGGACATAAAAGAAATTTCTACAAAGTTCCTGCTTTCTCTTCCTTGCTTTGACAATGTACCATTTCAAATGATAACACTGACACATGCACCTCTATTAGTTTCTCTGTTAAGAGAATATCATTCCCTAAAGCAGCATGTTACTGCTGACGTATTTTGAGGCATTTAGTGGGAAGAATGTTCAGGCTCAGATTTCTGTAGGAAACTCTTACATGAAAGAAAAAAAAAACAGTCCTTTTCTATTACCTCACTTAGGTTCTCCAACTTGAACCATGAAAATTAGACAAATAAAAGACAGATTAACAAATTTGTTTAACATAAGTTTTATGTGCCATGAGCCCTTGAGCCTTCATAAAGAAATGAAGGCCCAAAGGAAAAGTTAAGTCTGATAAGTATTTTCTCTTTTTTTAATATATTTTTTATTTTTTTCAAAGAAAGTCTCAATCTTTCACTCAGCAGAAGTGTTGCAATAGAATAATCATAGCTCATGCCGCTTCAAACTGCAGGGCTCAAGTGATCCTCCTATATCAACCTCTTAAGTAGCTAGGACACAGGCCTTCTCCATGACGCCTACCTAATTTTTTTTTTTTTTTTAAAGAGACAGGTTGTAGCTATATTGCTTAGGTTAGTCTTGAACTCTGGCCTCAAGTGATCCTCCTGCCTCAGCTTTTCAAAGCACTGGTATTATAGGCATGGGCAGTGGCCTATAGGCATGAGCACTGTGTAAGCAAGCCCAAATGTTTTCTTATTAGGTTTGACAATCGGTAGAAAGTTGAGGATAAGGCACGGGTAAGAGCTAAGGATAGTAAACTGGGGGAAATTTAGCAAGGCCTGTTCAATGTCCTTCCAACTTCAGATAAAAGGTACTTCCTTTCTCTGTGTATGGGGAGGACATCTCTAACCTGAGAGTCTTATGACCTGCTTCAAGGGTGAAGGAAGAAGTCAGAGTCCTTTCAGCATCTGCTATTTTTATGACCTGCTTCAAGGGGAAAAGGGGGAGGCCAGAGAGCCCTTCTTGTATCTACATTTCCTCAAAAATTTTTAACTTAAAATATTCAATATACAAAGTCATCACATTTTTGAGGTAGCCTTTTCTGAATCTTGTCACTCTGGGTAGTCAATGAATCTTATTATGCATAGATTTGCATTGTGTTCAATTAAAGAAATAGTAATGTATGATTTTCAAAAGTTAAAAGCATAAGTCATAAAAATATAAAATGAACATAAATCAGAAATTTACTTATGGTATTATTGAGGGAACAAGACCAGTATTGTTGGTCTAAAAGCATTAGTGGAATTGAGTATCTACAGGTAATGTTTAAATAAGATGTGTAGGTTAGGTAGAAAAATGTTTAATGCTTCATAGGGCAGTAAATCCATAATCTTTGGGTTATCTGTTCGGACAGGTAATTATCTGCAAATTAACATACAATTTCATTTATACATATAGGTCTGATCAAATAGAAAGTACTCAAGTGAAACACAGATCTATATCTATTTTTTTATAGCTACACTATCCACGGCAGTGTAGAAGTGAAGCAAACTTTCCTTTCACCCTGTGAAGGTTCTATACTTCGAGTTCCAGGAATAAACTTGACGACAAACAGAT